ATTTTTACGTGTAGATTACAAAAAAAATATAGCGAGGATGATTGGAGTTGATTTTTCTGGGTCTGTCAAGAAAAAACTGATAATTTTAGAAAAAATCATGAATTTTCTCCCAATAACGGAACAAATTTTTTCTAAAGGGCTTCAAATTTACTATTTTTACGTATTTTTATGTGTAGATTATAGAAATAATTTAATAGACATGATTGATCATCAACTCCAATCGTGCTTACATTTTTTCCCTGTATTTTTCACGCAAAAATACAGTTTTACAGCAAATATGAACAATTTGGGTTGAATATTGTGTGCGCTAGGGAGAATAAATAATTTTTTTCGAAATTTTTGATTTTTCCTTGACAACGCTATGTAAATTGATTCGAATCAAGTTCGCTATATTTTTCCTGTAATTTTCACGTAAAAATACATAAGTGTACCAAATTTGAGCTCTTTATGTCAAAAGATGTGGCTGCTAGGGGGGGGGTACATAGTCATTTTTAGGTATTTTTCGTAAAAATTCATGGTTTTTCCTTGACAACGCTATGATAATCAACTCCAATCATGCTCGCTTTTTTTTTTTTGTAATCTACACGTAAAAATACGTTAAAATATATAAATTTAATTTCCTTTAAATAAAATTTTGTTCCTTTTTGCTGGAAAAATACATTTTTTTCCTAAAATTGTAATTTTTCTTGAAAAACTTGATAAAAAGTTAATCATGAACTCTAATCGTGACCGCTTTTTTTCCCCTGTATTTTTCCCGTAAAAATACATTTGTATACTAAATATGAACTGTCTGTGTTAAATATTGTGTGCGCTAGGGAGAATAAATTATTTTTTTTGGAATTTTTGATTTCTCCTTGACAACGCTATGTAAATTGATCGGAATCAAGTTCGCTATATTTTTCCTGTAATTTTCACGTAAAAATACGTAAGTGTACCAAATTTGAGCTCTTTATGTCAAAAGATGTGGCCGCTAGGGGGGGGTACATAGTCATTTTTCGTAAAAATTCATGGTTTTTCCTTGACAACGCTATGTTAATCAATTCCAATCAAGTTCGCTATATTTTTCCTGTAATCTACACGCGAAAATACATATGTGTACTAATTTTCAGCTCTCTAGATAAATTTGTGTGGCCGCTAGGGGGGGGGGGGTACACGATTTCAAAAAAACCGATATTAATAGGGTTCCGAACCGAGTACGGAACCCTAAAAAGAAGAAAGTGAAGATATTGAGAATGGAGAAAAAAGATAAAAATAAGTAAGTAGAAATAGAAAAAAAAGAAAAAAAGTTATATATATATATACTGAAAAATACTGAAAAAAAAAATATTTTTGTCCTACCTGCACGGAAAGTGTGTTATTTCGTGCACTTGAGGCGGTCGCAAAGTAAGTGATTCCCGCCCAGAGATGGGGTGAGCGGGCGCAAAGTACATTCGCGCCCGCTGACGTCATAGATGCGGGCGCAAAGTACATTCGCGCCCGCTGACGTCATAGAAGCGGGCGCAAAATACATTCGCGCCCGCACCATTAAAAAATGTATTGTTTTAATTTTTTGTGACATAATAAACATACGTAATATACGTAAACAACTACATGTAATTTACCTTAAGTATATTATCTTCCCAACCCTGATGGAACATTGAAACAAGCGGACTTGCATGCACTCAATAATACACTTTCCATGCAGACAGGACAAAAAATGTTGTTCGCAGCACGGGCGCAAAAGGTGATAGTGTCTCAGGCGAGATTATGAAGAAACCTCGGCGACCCTACGCACCCTCGGCTTCGCCTCGGGCGCTTCGGGTCCCCTTGGTTTCTCTAATCTCGCCTTCGCCACAATCACCTATTTTGCGCCCTTGATACGAAAATAACTATTTTTTAATTTATACAAAAAAATAAAATGTATATAAAATGTATATAATATATTTTTACATATTTTTTTTACAGCATGAATCCTCATCACTGCTGTTGTAGCTGTTCCCAGCGATGCCGGTGCTGCTGTTCCTGCCATACAACTGGTGTGTGCCTTCGAGGATGTCAGGACGGCGGAAGGCGAATCCTAATTAATCTTCCCATGGAAGCTTTTTTGATGAAAAATGTGAGTAAAAAAAAATGTGGGGGTGGGTAAGTGTTGTGTGTGTTAGTGTCAGTGAATAATTTTTTTTTAATTCTTGGTGTCAAGTGTGGGGGTCGGTGAGTGTTATGTGTATTAGTGTCAGTGATTTTTTTTAAACTCTTGGTGTCAAGTGTGGGGGTGGGTAAGTGTTGTATGTTTGTCAGTGTTAGTGAAAAAAATTTTTTATTCTTGGTGTCAAGTGTGGGGGTAGATAAGTGTTGTGTGTGTTAGTGTCAGTGAATAATTTTTTTTAAATTCTTGGTGTCAAGTGTGGGGGTGGGTAAGTGTTGTATGTGTGTTAGTGTCAGTGAAATTTTTTTTTTTAAATTCTTGGTGTCAAGTGTAGGGGTGTGTGAGTGTTAGTGTCAGTGAATAATTTTTTTTAATTCTTGGTGTCAAGTGTAGGGGTGGGTGAGTGTTAGTGTCAGTGAATAATTTTTTTTAATTCTTGTTGTCAAGTGTGGGGGTCGGTGAGTGTTATGTGTATTAGTGTCAGTGATTTTTTTTAAACTCTTGGTGTCAAGTGTGGGGGTGGGTAAGTGTTGTATGTGTGTCAGTGTTAGTGAATAATTTTTTTTAATTCTTGTTGTCAAGTGTGGGGTCACGGTGGGCTTGGATTAAGTTCAACCCAAAAGTCTTTGCACATCACCGTTTTCTTTTGGAATTACTTCGGGGATGTCTTCTGATTATTTTAAGACAAAAATGAAAATAATCGGTGGAGGGAAACTGAAATTATCTTGATTTTTCATTTTTTTTTATAGGTTATTCTATGTAATTTCTTTAAAAAAAGGTTTCTTTCAATTTTTTTTCTACAAAAGTTGTATTTCGGATTCAGTAAAGAATCTCTATGATAGTTAATGAATTTAAAAAATTTGAACTATTAAATTTGTTAATAAATAATGGAAGAACATGGTTTTTCATTCGTTTTTTGAAATTAACTCGTCTTGTAATTAATTTACACCAAAATTTTTCAAAGATAATTTGAAGTACATAAGATTATCTGTAAAACTGAAAAAAGAAGACTGTTCTACCTATTACCGTTCCTTAGATATGACACGTTGAAGTTGCTATTCAATGAAAAATTTAAACTTGGGAGCTCATTATTCGATGAATTCTTTTATTTAATATCCTAATATAACAATTATAATAAAACATAATTAAGAGGACTCTTTTTCGAATAATTTGCGATAGATAAAATTAATTTATCTTCAGTAGTATAAATTATTATTATTATTCATCGAATAATGAGCTCCCAAGTTTAAATTTTTCATTGAATAGCAACTTCAACGTGTCATATCTAAGGAACGGTAATAGGTAGAACAGTCTTCTTTTTTCAGTTTTACAGATAATCTTATGTACTTCAAATTATCTTTGAAAAATTTTGGTGTAAATTAATTACAAGACGAGTTAATTTCAAAAAACGAATGAAAAACCATGTACTTCCATTATTTATTAACAAATTTAATAGTTCAAATTTTTTAAATTCATTAACTATCATAGAGATTCTTTACTGAATCCGAAATACAACTTTTGTAGAAAAAAAATTGAAGGAAACCTTTTTTTAAAGAAATTACATAGAATAACCTATAAAAAAAAATGAAAAATCAAGATAATTTCAGTTTCCCTCCACCGATTATTTTCATTTTTGTCTTAAAATAATCAGAAGACATCCCCGAAGTAATTCCAAAAGAAAACGGTGATGTGCAAAGACTTTTGGGTTGAACTTAATCTAAGCCCACCGTGGGGTGGGTGAGTGTTATGTGTATTAGTGTCAGTGAATTTTTTTTTTTAACTCTTGGTGTCAAGTGTGGGGGTGGGTAAGTGTTGTATGCGTGTCAGTGAATTTTTTTTTAATTCTTCATGTCAAGTGTAAGGGTGGGTGAGTGTTAGTGTCAGTGAATAATTTTTTTAAATTCTTGTTGTCAAGTGTGGGGGTGGGTGAGTGTTATGTTTGTTAGTGTCAGTGAATAATTTTTTTAATTCTTGGTGTCAAAAGTGTTTAAGTGTCATTAAAATTAAAAAAAAATGGTGTTCAGTGAATGTAGGGGGGTGAGAGATGAGGGAGGTCGTGGTTATGAGTGATGTGAAAGGGTGGGGGGGTCGGGTGAGAGTTGAGGTGGGGTGACTGTGCTGAAGGGGGGTAGGGGTTGATATGAGTGGTGGGGATGGGTATGAGTGATGGAGGATGGGTATGAGAGATGGGGTGGGGGTATGAGAGATGGGGGGTGAATGTTGTGGAATGGTGGTGGGGGTGAGTGTCGTGTATGTGTGGGCGAGTGAGTGTTGTGTGATTGAATTGTGTATTTTCCATGTTTAGTTTATTATTATTATTATTATCTAGTTTTTTTTTATTTTAGGGTGAGACATTCAATTCTCCACCACCACCACCACCTTCTCCTGAAGAATCTTCATCATCTTCTTCATCAGAAGAAGATGTGGTGGTTATACAGTCTCCGCAGCAGCCACATGGAGCAGCAGCAGCTTTCAAAAAGCCACCGATTACATCCTACAGAGCAGCAGTTAAAAAGGCGTCCGTTCCTTCAGGTTCCTCAGCAGCAGCAGTTCCTGGCAATTTCATCTCTCAACAGGCACCTGTAAAACGAACATTAGAACCAATTGTAAATTTACCTGAAAAAAAGGAAAAATTAAACACACACCCACAACAAACACACCATTTAAACATTCAAACACATCCACAACAAACACACCATTTACACATTCCAGCACATCCGCAACAAACAAACCACCAACACAATCATTGACATCCACAACAATCAACACAATCATACACATCCGCAACAAACAAACCATCAACACAATCATACACATCCGCAATACAAAAAAAAATTTCTCCCCTACCTATCACAAAACAAACACATTCACCCACTCACCCACAACCACCAACACGCACATCCTCCTTGAAGCCATCATCAGCATCGTCACCACCAGTCCCTCTAAATAGGAAAATGGGTTCAATTATAGGATCTTCTCCATCTTCCGAATTAGAGGGAGTACCAACAGGTGAACTACTGCAAGAATTATTAGAATTCATTTCAAAAGTTGATGATGATGACTTTAAGGAGAATGTTTCAAATAAATAAAAATTTTCACACTCCCACACATACACAACACTCACTCCCGCACATACACACCACTCACTCCCCCCCACATATATACATAACACTCACTCCCACACATACACGACACTCACTCACAAATGAACGCACTCAATACTTACCTTTTTTTCATGAATTTTTTTCATCGAATACTTACCATTTTGTATTATTAATATATATACTGCCAACTCTGACAATGCTTTTTTCTATACATTTTTTTTATTTTTAATTTATTTAAGTAAAATCGGGCAATAAGTAATAAGAAAAAACAAATGTTAATATATTTTTTTATTAATTTCATTCACGTTTTTTCAAAAAATATTTTACATTTTTTTTCTTTTAGATTAATTAAAAATTTTAAACTTAAAAATATTATAAGTTCCTCCAAAATAGTACAAGTGGAGAACTTTTGATTTTGCTGATTCTACCAAGTCCTCAAATGTATTCTCAGGATCATCCTCAAAGGTGTTTGCAATTCTTCCAGGCAAGAAGACTTCAAATTGATTGTCTAGTTCCGCTACTATTCTGGTACCGTATTTAGTGACAACTTTTATAAAGAGAGAGCAATCCCCACTCCAGAATTTCCGCCTCCACATTTTCTAGAACTTTCTACTATATGTATTTGCAAAAAAAAATATTAATTCGAGTCTCAGCAATTTTCAAACAAGTTAAAACATATTTTAGAATCTCTAGGGTGATATTAATAAGAGAAGATAATTTTTATTAGTTTTTTCTGGTTTATTAAATAATCTTAACCTAAAAGTTTACATTGCTTTTTTTTTTTTTTTAAAAACATAAAATCACAACTGGTATAATAATCTCTTAACGTAGTCAGGTTGGTGTCCACAGTATCATGTCCAGAGGAAGAGGAGTCTCGAACATCGTCATCATCCTCTGTAGTGCCTATTATGCACTGGGTACTTGATGTCGTAGTAGTAGCAGTAGAATTCAGGAACCAAGTTTTTAGAGCAATAACGTTGCGAACTGCACAGTTGTGGTAACAGGTTTGGCAATGGTGATGACACAGTGGAGGAATGGCACTATGCAGTATCTTCAAGGCAGGGCAGCCCAATTCTTCAACGTATTTCACCTGCAGACCAGTCTATCCCATGATAGTATACTGAATTTTTTGTGTGTATCTCTCTGCTTTTATACCTTCGTCCCCCACCACAACCAATATTTACCCCCACCACTACCACTTATTGCAGGTTTAAACAAGTTTTTTAACTTCTCCACTAATTGGTTTGTATTAAATGATACGATCGTGTATAATGAGACAATAGGCTGCAGTTTCAGCAGGAAAATTTTTTCTTGACTCAAACTCCAAACGTACATCTACTGAAGCTTGTTTAAGGAATTCATTTTGCTTTGAACAATCGATGACTATTAGTGGGACAGCATCCATGAAATCAATTTTCTTTAATAAAGGTTCCGGCTCTCTGTCATAATAAATGCGTTGAAAGTTTGCATACATCTCGTACAACAATGCAAATTGGTTGTGTTCAATATCCAAATTTAAATTTCCATAGGGATAGTATTGAGAATTTAGAAATAATTTAACATTTGTAATGTCACAGTGGTCAAAGCGATTAGCATACTTTTTTAGTTTATCCTTTCTACTTGTTTGAAAACCTAGCAAAACGTAACGCGGTTTTTCAAGTTGCGTAGACGTTTTCACTGTCCATACATGTTTTGAGGTAATGGGGAGTAAAGGATATTCATACAAATCCCAGGCTCGAAAACTCATTGTAATGAATGAATCTTTCTCAATTGATTGCAGTAAACGTATTTTTTGACGATCAGCAGCCATTACATATGGCATCATCCACTCAATCTTGTAAAGTGTTATCTTGAATTGTTCAATGTCTTGACCTTGAATAACTGCATTGATGTCACTGCGTGCACGCGTCATGATAAGTTCATGTTTTGCGTTTACAATTACTTTTTGATAATCTTCAGCAAAACCCAAGATCAAACTTAGCGGTATTGTGACATCAAAATATCCATCATTATTGGCAAGTGTTGAATCGATCCAGCCTGCATTCTCCAAGAGATTACGTTGTCCCAATGTAAGTGATACATATCCCTTCATCGTGCTCGTGAGACCAACATTTTTACAATGATCAATCTCAATAGCATTGAGCTCATAACGAATATCATCAAATAGAAAACAGATGGCGTTGGTAACTAGAGTTGTTGCTGCAGTTGCTGTAACTCCATCAGCTTTTGTCAAACGTCCAGATACGTGCAAAGTACTTTTGCTAGGTAGAATACACAAATCTTGATGTTGAATAACAATTCTTATTTCATCGCTGTTGTTGTAAGTTGATGAGGATGCATATGGTTGATGAGCGTGAATTTCGTAATGTGAAACAGATTTATCAAACTGAACACCTGTGTGAATGTTCAAGACGTTTTCCATTGCGTTTATTGCAACAGACAGAGAAAATTAGTATTTGGAAAGGACGTTTGAATCTTTTTTTCCACGAGGTACGATTTTGAGTCCTAGTTGTTTCAGGAAAGTCTCGTTCTGAGGTGTTAACACTTTGCGAAGTGGTTTCAAACTGACGCTTTTTTGACATTTTGGGTAATTTATAAAACTTTTGTTCCTCCTCCCTCTTTACTGTTGTATACAATACCCATCACAGTGTTTTAACGTGTAGCCGTATAGTTATAACTTCTCCACAAAAGTTGACTAAATCATCGTCTTGATCGATTATGCGCAGCTGTATATTGTGTATTGTCTTTACGGCTAACGGAAGATAAATGACGTGTGTTGGCAATTCCACAATCTTATATCCTGGTGGAACAAGGGGGAAAAATTCGTGTATTGTGTGACTTATTCTGCCATTGATTAATGCACCTGTTGTTATATTACATTCCACTCGCAAACCATTCACTTTGAGAATAGCGACTGGTAAATCTGAAGTATGAGTAATGTTTGCCTTCAGAATGCGTGGTGTAAATCCCAGGAGACGTCCAATTGAATCCTTGTGTTGAAAATTTATTTCACGGTTGCAATGAATTTCACTGCGTAAAGTATTGTTGTTTGGTCTAATCTGTATGTCAATACCAGCACGTGCTGCTATCTTTTGCACGTAGTTGTTAATATCCTCAATTTCACATCTACCCGTAGGTAAATTCACAACTGTATTTCCAATGTAGAATTTATTGTTCTTTCCTTCTTCAATGTTGGGTATTGCATTAAATGTGAGCAACTCCACGAGACCAAGTGCATAACTTTTGAATGAAGAGAGTTCTATTGGAGGAAAGTACACGGCTTCCAGTACAGAAGTGTTACCAGAAAGCGTTAGAGTAAAAGATTCATCCATGATGAGCTTGCACTCTCTACTGACTCAACTTTCTGAGTCACTGACTTATATAGAGTACTGTAACGATTTTACATGAGAAGAATTTAAATATTAGTTTAGAAAATTAGACAGGCAAAGATTTATTATTAACTTTAAAAATTCGCGAATTATATTAATGTAAAGCAAATGAAATAGAAATAAAACACTGAATTACTCCGTAATTAGACACATATATTGACCAAGTAAATTTCGATTGAACAGATATTTCGTATATATATAAAATGATCGCACTTAAATCAATTACGGAACGAAACGCGACTCGCACTCTTGCACACTTCGTAATAAAAACAATAACGAGACGCGTCAACAAAAGTCGAATAATAAATACATGTTATTCGAAATAAATAATATGACAAACAATTGAATATATAATGCGTAGGCAACACAAATAATTTAAATAAAACCGTCGAACCCGAAATGCAAATATGAATGGATCAAGATGAGTTCGACGGATGGTCAAATTGAGAAGATGAGTAAAAAGGAAAATGATAAAATAAACAAATAAAATAAAACTTATCCAGTTGGCGATTGTGAGTCTGGCGATGGAAAAGGGTAGCGTCGGTGTGGAATTCGGTCCGAGGAGGTCCGGATACTGCTGACGGTGCACTCGTCAATAATTTGGTCTCTTTATGCTTTCAGCAAAATCGTAATTATCTCCGGGGCAGGTTCCTCTCTCGTCAAATTCGGCCCAATATTCGAGGGAATGCTTCCTCGTGGGATTTCCCCTAAATCCAAAATTCCGCACGCCTTGTCCCCAAATACCACTCGTATAATGCGCCACACTATTTTTATAAAAACAATAATTTAATCTCCAAATAAAACGATACATACCAAAAACTTTACTCTTCCTTTTTTTACAAAACATGATTTTACTGAAGTGAAATTTAACAAAGAATTGAACTGAATAATTAATACCTTCGTGCTGTCGGCGACACGCGAAAATGTGGCTTTTCAAAATTGATTGCAATTTTCCACCGGACTGGAATAAGTGAGGACAAGACGTGCTCGTGGTTCCCTTTTATTAATTGACCCACGCGAACTCCCCCCCAGGGAAATCTTCCCCACCGTCCAGCAGTATTCCGGCCTAATCGTGCCTCTTGGCGCTCTTTCGCCGAAATTCATCGAATTTCCACGAAAGAGCCCACGTTAGTGGTACCGACCCCCCCAGACTGCACAATTGCTCAAAGCGCGAATATTCAAAAACATTTTGATCCTTTCAGTACATTTTTAGTTTTATTTTCAAGTTGTCCACATAGGAATTTCAAACACAAGTGTCCACATTTAACACTGTCATAGTCTTGATATCTTTCATGATTGTATTGTATTTTGCTTCCAGAACCAAGATATTTTACCAGATCCGTAGGTGGTCGAAGATTTCCAAAACTGTCAAAGTACAAGACAGTGTTGCCCAACTTTTTATATGCAACCTAATGTGTTTCAGGACCAGCTTTATCATCATGATTCACCATAGCCGTTTCTCTGTATAATGGTCCAGATAAAGGTAGTTCATTACGCATGAAATCACCACGAAAGTGAGGAATTTTCACTGTTTTGGCGTATTCGTACAAATTAGCGTCTGTGAGTGCACGACGTGGTAATTTTACGAGCTTTTTTTTTGTCACTTGTTTTACACGAATTCCCTTTCCACTATGATACGGTTTCAAATGTAAACCTAAACCTTTTCTATAAGGTTTTAGGTGTAAGCCTTTCCCTAAGGCTATAGCTTCTATTGTTTTGTTATGTCGTTGTGCCTCTTGAAGTTGCTGTTTGGCTGAATTTGCATCACCTACAGCCTTTGCTATTCCAGCTGCTCCACCAGATAAAGCTCCAAGTGCACTAAGGCCAGCAAAGACAGGTATCAGAGGTAAGAAACCACCCAATTTTGAAGGTATAGGTAGAATGCGTGGTTGATGAACATTTTCTTTTCCACCAGCAGATTTAACGAAATCCTGTGCACTCTGAAGTGCCGATTGAATAGCCGTTTTTGCATCTCCTCTAGAAATCATCTTTTTCTTGGCTGCAACAACAACCTTTCTCAAGGTCACTCTGTTGCTTTTGGGTTTTGTTAAAGTCTTTCGCTTCTTCTTTTTCTTGTTTCGCTTCCTTGCCTTTAGACCCATCCCTAATTTTGATTTAGCCTTCATTACGTTTGTTATTGCCAAGGCTGCTGCCTTTTCACTGAACTGAGCGTCTTTGGCAAAAACACGTTGCCACGCTTTATCAGCCAAAACTTTATCAGCAGAATTTCTTGCCGCTATGTTCTCCCGATTTTGTGAATAGGCAATGTCGTGTTCCTTGCACGCTGCGTCTAGTGGATTAATACCGGGATCACCGCGCGCAAGACGTTTGGCAAGTTTTGTTCCTGGTCCGCAGTATTGATACCCAGGTAAATGCAATTCAAACGGTAAATTGTTTATAATCTTATTGACAAGACCTCTACCGCACTGACGACGTTTACGACGATGCAGAGCAGCTCTTTGTTTTCTGCAGTGTATAATCATTCCGCACTGTATGGAGGTATGCAGATAACTGATGGAGAGTCTATTTAAGTGCTGTATTTATACGTTTTCAGGCAGTAACAGTCAAGATGCGGTTCAAGACACAACAGGTTAAGCTGCCTGTTGTAAATTTGGATAATATCATTCAGCATGAGTCTGTTAAGAGAAAACGTCACAGCAACTTACTCCCCAACAGCATTCGTGCTGTCTTTTGTGGACCATCTAATTGTGGTAAAACAAATGCTCTGCTTGCCCTCATTTTACACCCGAATGGTTTGCGTTTTGACAACGTTTACATTTACTCGAAATCTCTAAAGCAACCAAAATATAAATTTCTAGAGAGAATTTTAAAAGCTGTAAAAGGTGTAGAGTACTACCCGTTTAGCGAACATGAAGAAGTAATATTACCGAGTGAAGCTCGACAAAATTCAATTATTGTCTTTGATGATGTTGCCTGTAAAAAGCAAGACAACATTAAAGCTTTTTTCTGTATGGGTAGACATGGTCACGTAGACAGTTTTTACTTGTGTCAATCGTATGCACGTATTCCTAAGCATCTAGTTCGTGATAATGTAAACTTGCTAGTGCTTTTTCGCCAGGATGAAAAAAACCTGAAACACGTTTATGATGATCATGTAAATACCGATATGTCATACACACAATTTCGTGAATTATGTGCAGCTTGTTGGAATCTCGACAAACATGGATTTCTTGTTATTGATAAAGACAGTGATATAAATGAGGGCAGATACAGAAAAGGTTTTGACTGCTTTATTGGTCTATAAATACGAGTAATATGCATCGTATTGCGTTAGTACTGACCTTGACAGCACAATGTCAGCATTTCAAAAAGAAAAGAAGGTCCTTTATCAAATTGCCAAAGCCAGCAAGGCGATGCGACGTAAACATCGAACGCTCAAGCTGGGCAAAGAAGCTGCTGAACAAACTTTAAGTACAACATTTAAAACGATAGTTGTGCCACTACAAAAACTTGTTGAAATGTCACATAATCCAACGCGAGTAAAAGCAGAACCTACAAAACATGAAGTTAAAAAAGAAGAAGAAGAGGATAATGCTTCCTTTGCAACTGCTACGGATGAGGAAGAAGATGAAACTCTGCTTGACACTCATGATGCAACAGCATCAACGCCAAAAAGTCCTGAAACTTATGATTACTTAACAAATAAATTTCTCAGAATGTTGCAACAAAATCGCAAACAATTCTTGGATATGACTTACGGCGTTCGAAAACTCGATAATGGTACACTGATGATTGGTGATACACCTATTCATTTTGAGGGACAGTATATTGACGTTGGTGGTAAACGTTACCCTAAAACTGTTGGTCTAATGGAACTGCTGTTTCGACAAACTCCTGATGAGTCATTAATAAGTGATGCTGATCTCAACACATACAAGGAGATTTTAATTGACACCAATGCACACAAGAAAAATTACAGTCCCAATGGTCCGACTCATACCAGCAGGAGTCTCAAGTATAAAAATTTTATTGCCAAATTTATACCTACATCTCGCAGACGGTCCTCAACCAGTGGCGGTACATTACCCAAGTTTATGACAAATAGAAAAAATGTCAACACTGACTACGTCTACTGGGATGATCCGAATGAGCTGGTAGACCGACTTCGTCTACTACTTGCATCTCAAGCAGCTGGAAATCCTAGTCACAACAATGAAATAATTTCCATCATTGAAGAACTTCGTGAATCAGGAATCATATATTAATCGTGATTGTTATCAATATTGTTCAGTTTAAAAATGAGTCTTGACGTGTTTGGACGCCATTTGGAAAGAGCAACATCAACAACTATAGCCAGCCGTGGACCACCTGGTGTAGGATTCAAAGTCAACGTGGATGGTAACTACGACATAGAAGACAAAAGAATTTGCAACGTTGCTGCGGCTCTAGCCGAAGACGACGCAGTGACATTGAAACTGACACGGCATATGATAGAGAACGAAGTACTTCTACTGTATCAAGTCACATCTTCACAGAGGAAAGAGATTGATGACACTAACCTATTACTAAAAATTCATGAAGACTCTGTTAATGCAAGATTAATTAACCTGGAACGTGAAATAAATCAAGATTTATCATATCGAAACGCTGAAATTCTTAAAGAATTGGATACTCGTTTAAGCGTTTTGGAAAATGAACGACAAAAAGTTGTCAGTAGTGATGGAACTTCACAAACCGGCTAGAAAAAACTATCCACGTCGCCGTGTGCAAATGCGTGGTATTGATGAGACTTGGCAGGCAGATTTAGTGGAAATGATACCTTATGCCAAAGGAAACAAAGGCTACAAGTACTTGCTTACAGTAGTCGATACATTTTCAAAATATGCATGGGCCGTTCCTGTTAAAAGTAAAAGTGCCAAAGATGTTACTGCAGCAATGGAATCCATACTTGAGAAAGGACGTGTTCCAAAAAATTTACACACCGATCAAGGAAAAGAATTTTACAATACAACTTTCAAAAGTCTAATGTCACGTCACGGCATTCACTTGTATTCAACACATAGTAATCTAAAAGCATCTATTGTTGAACGTTTTAATCGTACCCTTAAAAACAAGATGTGGCCACAATTTAATCTAAGGGGAACCTACAAGTGGATAGACATTTTACCGCAACTTGTCTCGCAGTACAACGGAACAATACATCGAACAATTGGTATGAAACCAAAAGACGTCCTGCTGCTGATGTAGAGGACCTCAAGCGGCGTTTTATTGCACTACGAAAAATACCCCTGAAACATCCAAAGTTAAATGTGGGTGACAAAGTTCGTGTCAGCAAGTTTAAGCACACATTCGAGAAAGGATACACTCCCAACTGGACGACAGAAATATTTACTGTGGATCGTGTTATGCCTACAACTCCAGTCACTTACAAGATAAAGGATTATCAAAATGAACCCATTGCTGGAGGCTTTTATGAATTTGAATTACTCAAAGTTAAACATCCAGATATTTATTTAGTAGAAAAAGTATTGAAAAGACGCGGTAATCAACTTTATGTTAAATGGTTAGGATTTGATAATACGCACAATAGTTGGATAGATAATACAGATTTGTAATCAACGTTAAATCAACATTATAGCAACGTTAAAGCAACTTTGAATCAATGTTACATCAACGTTAAATCATTTTATGAATATATATATATATATATATATATATATTTAAAATTGTATTATGGTACTAGGTATAAGGTTTTTAATGAATAAAATAAAATGTTATAAATATAAGATATTTACATTAGGCGTTTATTTATTTAACAGTTTATATTACAAAAAGAAAACACTTCTCCCTCTCTCTCATTCTTCCACATCATTTTCTCTCTCTATTTCTCTTATTCTATAATGTCCCCATGCAAGGGTATCAGTTGTATTTGGTAGTAAGCAACGCTTATCGTCATATGGACTAAGAGCAAGTTTTGTTTGTCGAATTGTTTCTACATTGTGTAATCGTGACCGGATAAGATGTTGCATTCGCGTTTGTTTACTGTTTTCTCGAAGACATTGTTTGAAATCGTTGAAAGTAATAGTTTTCTTTATAATATTTGATTTTAATCCCTTTGCTTTTTTAACATGATCGATACCATTCACGCGTACACTGTACATTTTACTCCGCAGGCCAACAAACTCGGTTATGATTTTACCGCTACATTCATCTTTCATAAGACCTAACACTTTTTTGTTGACCTGTGGCATTCCGTACACATTGTCTATAGGGTAATCGAAGGTGTCAAATTTGTCGATGTCCTGCTTCATGATTTCGTAAACGTCATTACATTTTAATTCATAGATGAAACTATCGGTATCCGTGTACAATAATTTACAATTTTCACCATACTTTTGTTGCATATAGTCATAATGAAATTCATACATAAGTATTTTAGACACAACAAGTACAGTAAGACCAACGTAGATTGGTTTGTTAAACAAAACTTCCAATCTTCTCAGTTCAACAGCAATAAGATTTTCGCTAAAAATCGATCGACTTTGGAAATTTGCTTTAACTATCAAAGCTTCAGCTCCATACCTACCCTCCCATTTCGTTACGAGTTTAACATTGACATATTTTCGGACATTTTCCATCGTTTTACCGTAAACCGCATTATTCATTAATTTGAATAAATTTTTCTCAAAATCATTTTGTGCGTTTGCTCTAAGAGTAGTATTGAAGTCGATATAATTCTTAAGCCATGTTGATTGCTTAAATCTCAATACTCGATGTATCGACTGCAACACTAACCCGTTTGTTAGAGCCTGTTTGAGAGCACGATAATGAAGAACGTATTTTCGCTTTGGTGAGAGGGTGGTAAGAAGCTTTACTTGACTTGATCCGGGTGGACTTGCATGTTCTGGACAAAATGGAAGATCATTATGCTGATCGTGGAGCTCTTGTGGGTATTCTAAGTCGACTTCAAGGATGTAGCCGTATGATGAATCATCCGGAATATTAAAATCAAAGTTATTGTCAACATTAGACACCCACTTGAATTCTCCGTAGGGTAAGGATTCTCCCATTGCCCAGCCATACAAGTTATTTTCATCCAAGTACAGAATGTAGACGCTCTCCTCACTTTTGTTGTATGTTGTCATATATTTGTTATTGGCGGATGAGTAGCGGTTAGAGCACTGACTCACACCACCTCGTTTGCCTTGTTCAATCATTAACAGCATATCAACGTCAGTGAGGAGTTCTAGTCGTACATTTGTATACTTGAGCATAGCGTCCCACGTCAAGCCTGGTGTTGTATAGTAGTGCGCAGGATCTAATTCATAAACACAACACTGATCGCGAAAACTCTCAAAAACGTCAGCAAGAAGCAAAACATCAGATTTCAAGTACAGTTTTACATAGTCACCTAACGTTGGACACGCAAATGCTGACCATACGTTTTGCGCATGTTTATAGTCATCGTCAGTAATCGTTGAGTCGTTCAATGTGCTGTAAAATTCTTCTTTCGTTGGTAGTTGTGTTTTGCTAAGTTTTTCTTTTTTATCCAGATATTCATAAGGCATAACTCCTTTTCGCGTTAACAAACTAATTTTTCTTTTTCTACACCAGAAAACTCTGCATTTACACACGGGTACTCAGTGAGATACGATGCTAACTTCTCTAGGGATGCAGCAAGAAACCTGAATGAATCTATAAACCGGAATTTAATCCTCGTATCTTTAACATATTTCGTAAAAGAAATGTATTTTTCCTTATTCAAAGCTAGAACTTTAACTTTTCCATCGAATTGTGTTGCTACATCCCTAATGGTGAAATGAGCATCGCATCCACTCAGGTTATGAAAAACTACTGGTACCACACTACAATCTTGATAATTGAGGTTGCAATGCTCGTGTTCAGCCCCACGATATTTTCCAGTCAGGTGACAGTGATCGCGTACCTTCCTCTGACGCGGACTGAGAGGCTTCTTACAAATATGACAAACTGTTGCACTTACAAAATCTTCTTTTTCTGCAACTGTTAGTTGATACATAGCCACTGGAATTGATAGAATCTGTTCAAACTCTAACGCTATTCGCTGCAACTCCAGGGCAAACCATTTTGCTGGATCAACATTCTCAGGACAAGAATTATAAAATGATAGGGTGCTATTAAAACTACACTTCAAGTAATAGCCAATATCAAACACTTGATGCTCTTGAATAACTTCAGTGTTGGACTGATTTGAATTCTGATCTTGTGTGACAGGCTTCAGAAGAGATTCACAGTCCGCGTAAACTATAAAGGGCACTTTTTCACAATTTTTAAAGTTGGTAAATTCGACAAAGTTTTTTCCAGGTTGAGGAAGAACAATTTTACATTCGTTTATTTTTACACAATCTTCCATGTGAGTTGATAACTTTTCCTCTTGTGAAAAATAATGTAGACACCGATCACAAATATATGCCCTACTTTTTTTCTTAGACAATTGACTACTTACTAAGCGTGACAGATCCTTAATCCACACATAATGAAAGTTTTGGTTTGCAAAAGATTGATTTTGATCATCTTCTTCAACTTCTTCATCACTACTGTCATCGTTCCAGTAGCATTCTTCCACTCGCAGCAAATTGACATGCTGATTCTTATTATTAGATGTTAAATGCAACGGGTTAATAGAGAACATTTCTTTCTTTAAAATAAGACCGTATACATTTATTGAGATGTCATTTTGATTTTCAAATTTCTTAATTTAATGTATTCCAACTGGAAATGTGATATCATTAAAATTAAGTGTATCTTGAAATGGTCTATAGTTGGAAACACGATATGTATGTCTGTGATGAGTAACAGGATGTAGTGCTGATAAAATGGCCCACTTGAAGCATTGATTGTCCTGGTTCTTTACATTGATGCATGCTTTTTTACTCTCAATATACTTGGGTAACTTGATATAAGAACTACCCCTCATTGGATTCAGTTTGTTAATATTAACATCTAATTTAACAATTGAGTGCAGCGTCCATCCTGAGTCTTTCTCTTCAAATTCCTCTGTTTCTTTAACAATGGGGTTCTTAACATGAGCATCAAATATTGTTTTCAGGTTAGATGATGCATAAATCTCTTGATTTTTAGATTTAAAGGTAAACTCTTCAACCCGATCTTCTTGATTATTTTCAACAGGCTTTCGAAATTTTGCCGTGAGTACGGTATTGACTTTGAGTGTTTTATGTTCACGCAATAGCTTTCCAATGTAGTCTGTAAAGAGTACAGCGACATCTACGAAAAAAGCCCTGACATCCTTGTGTTTAAGGTTGATGATGGTGGATGTTCTCACTCGGTTTCCAAACGCATTATCTAGATCAACCCACTGTACACGTTGGATTATGTCTTCTTCTGGGTTTGCAATCCTTCTCTGTTTTGATGGAATTCCACTTCCTTGTTTCAAGAGTTGCTCAAATTGCAGTTTAAAATAAATTAAATTACCAATAATATTAAGACATTAACGTCTCTGACCATTACTCAGTGGAGGTTGTCGGTAAAGCTCCCTCCGCACCGTCCTCAGACACCTCGACCACACATTCATCCATTTATTGATCTGATCTAAGGGTGCATAACCCAATGACAGCATCAACTTAAAGGCAATCTCAATGTTAGAAAGGAGATTCTTACATTCTTTAAGTATCATTTTGCAGTAGTTCCTTAGGGTTCACTGGGACATAAGAGTTCACTAGATCTTGAGGAAGGGCACATGGACTTTACAGTTCACTAGGTTATTCGGGGTACACTAGGACTTTACAGTTCACTAGATTAGTACACTATGACTTTATAGTTCACTAGGTTTTTGGGTACACTTGGACTTTACAGTTCACTAGATTTTTCCGGTACACTAACACTTCAGGAATTCACTAAATATATATACACAATGGCTCAGAAAACTACACTGATCATAGGCCGCTCGACACCTTCTTATATACCCACTTTATGTACCTAACCTTACTTACCCATGCTTTTCTAGAATTCTCCATGACAACCGAAAACCATAGTACTCTACAATTGTTGCTTCTAGAACTCTCCATGGCAACCGAGAACCTTCTAGAACTTTTTTTCCACGTCGGTAAAACAGGAATTTAAGATTTTTTTCATTTTTACAATATAGAGTACACTATATAGGGAATTAGGGATTCAAAAACGAGGAGTGGATTTTCAAATTTTTTTTCAATTTCAGTCGGTAAAACAGGTAGGGATGTATTTAAAACAACAACAAAAATAGTACTCCACAATTTTAGCTTCTAGAACTCTCCATGGCAACCGAGAACCTTCTAGAACTTTTTTTCCACGTCGGTAAAACAGGAATTTTACGATTTTTTTCATTTTTACAATATAGAGTACACTATATAGGGTATCAGGGATTCAAAAACGAGGAGTGGATTTTCAAATTTTTTTTCAATTTCAGTCGGTAAAACAGGTAGGGATGTATTTAAAACAAAAAAAAATAGTACTCAACAATTTTAGCTTCTAGAACTCTCCATGGCAACCGAGAACCTTCTAGAACTTTTTTTCCACGTCGGTAAAACAGGGACCACCCAAGTGATAGTAATTTAGCACGGACTCAAACCCGCGAAATGTACATTACCGACTGCGGTCGGTAGGTGGCTCAAGAGAACCATCCAGAACATTCTAGAACTTTTTTTCCACGTCGGTAAAACAGGGACCACCCAACTGATGGTAACTTAGCACGGACTCAAACCCGCGAAATCTACCTTACCGACTGAGGTCGGTAGGTGGCTCAGAACTCGCCTAGCTATACTACTAATACAATTTCATTGATCTTTCATTGAATAGTATACGTGTATATACTATGTGCTATATTGCACAACAGGTACATATTTAGGCAGGTTATTTATGAAATCAAATCTAAAAATGTAAGAAATTTATTTTTTATTATTTAAAATACATTTTTAATGCAAATTAATTTTATTAAAACTTCATTTTTATGGTAATTTTTAAGATACAAACTGACGTTTCTTATAAAAATTATTATTTAACTATAGAAACTAAAATACATATTTTATAAAAAACATTTTGTGCATTACTATAAAAATTAATAAAAATTGTTTAATGTAATTTTTCATAATTTTTAATAGAAATTTCTACATTTATCTGCAAGAAATGTATAGAGGTACCGTGTACCTTGTCCGCCTTTTAAGGGTGATGAAACTTTGTTTATTATTTCCGAATAAATAAGGTACATTATAAATAATATTAAAAAATTTTGTATGGATAAATTTGAGATGTCAAGAAACCTTGGATCGCACAGTGGTCTGAGAGACCAGGTTTTATGCGAAAAAGGGTAATTTTAAAATTGTAATAAATTAACCGAAATAAGTGGATTCTCAGTCACAAATGCCCAATAAATTCAGAACTGATCAGCATATTGTAACCGTTATAAAGTGACAGTTTTCTTTACAATTTTTTTATTCAAGCAGTAAATTTTAACAATGTTTAACGGTTTGTTTTTAGTTTTTACACTTAAAAAAAGATTATTTCATAAAAGTTTTCACAAAAAAAATTTATTGATAAGATATCAACACCTTTATAACATAACTTATTTTTTGAATACATTTTTTTCAAAAGGGTATAAAAAAAGTATGTCCGAATATGGTCGTAATTTTTTTTCTACACATAGTGCAAAGTGTCTTTTAATGATCTACGCTTAGAATAGCTGCGCACACTTGCGCCAAAAAAATGGCGGCCATTTTTGTTTCACTACTCCGACTACAACAGTGGTTTAAAATGACAATAAGTAGATTATAACATTTAGTATTATTTTTATTCATGGTATATTTGACATCATGTGATATGTAAGGTTTCAAAAATCTGAAGTCAATTTTCGAAATTTAAAAATTGTTGAATTTTTATGAAATTTGGTATTTACAGGTTTTTCACATTATTGTTTACGAATCCAAAAGAAGGAAAAAAACTTTTAATAATTTATTAGATTTTAGATCTAAAAAATATATTTTTATTTCTACAAATAAGTCTATAAGCCTATTGCTAAGTCAAAAGTCATCTGTTCCCGTAGAAAGTGATTTATATGAGTAAAAAAAAATTATTTATCACTTTATTCAGTTTTTTATTTAATGAATAATATTTTAAATTCCTTTTTTAAATCAAAATTTATTTGAAATAAACAAGTTTTTTTTAAACAACTTATTTTAATAAATAAAAGTACAGTTACAGTGACAAGTGTCAACTGTCAAAGTTTAAAGTTCACATCAAATTCGTGCTCAGCTAGTCTCAAAATCTAATTTCTGTCATTTTTGTAAAAATTCTCCAACTTTTGGTAAAATTGACAGTTACTTTGACAGCTCTCAACTGTCAAATTTTAAATTTGACTTAAAATTCGTGTTTAGTTAGCCTCAAAACCTTTAGGGTAACATGTTTGTTAAGATTTTTCAATTTTTAGTATAATTGACATTTATTTTGATAGCTGTCAACTGTCAAAATGTAAATTTTATATCATATTCGGATTTAGAATGACGAAAATGCGAATATCCTAAAGTTCAGTTGTAATCGGAGT